AACCTTAGTTCAATCTTTCGTTCCAACCATTTTTCTCTTTTTTTTACTTTTTTTAATTGACGTTTACTCAAATTCGGATTTAATTCCGATAATTTGTTATCAACATTGTAACAAGTCTTCTGTTCACACATGTTTATACATTGTGTGCCATTTTCTATTTTTTCAATGGTATTTATATCCTTTTCGTTTTCCATGTTTCAACAAAAAATGGGGAAACTAACTCGCACTATTGTAAAACGATATCTACTGAAGTGCAGCTAAGTTGACCAAATGAAATTTTGTTGCATTCAGGCGCGAAAGTAAAAATATAGAAAGATCATAATGAATGTAAAGTAGTATGACCTACTAAGTAAATGTCATAAGCAGTAAGTTATGAAGTAAAATCTACTAAAATCATTCAATGCCATCAATTATTTTTATTTTTGTAAATTTAATAACATTTTTACGTTACTTATTGTTAAAATAATTATAGTTACATATTTGCTTTTAAATCTTTCCTTATTTTTTTTACAGATTGTAGAAATTAGAAAATATATCTTTCAATATAAACATTTTTCAATATTAAACTTCACTGAAAAATATTAAGCAAAAATTATTTAAAATTTCTGGGGACATTACAATAGTAAGGAAGAATGTTGGCAATTGGTTTAATAATCCCTAAAGAAAAGAGTCATCTGGATGAAAATCTAAATCATCTGTCCGTAGTGAAAGCAGACGATTTTTCTACGCTTTGAAAACGTGTTTTTGATCGGTTTTTGTGAAGTGAGAGAATGCAAGTTGTTGGGGTCGACGGTCGTGTCGTCGGCTATCTCTTTTGTTTTCTGATACTCCAGGCAAAACTTACGAACTCGAGAACTTCTTGGAGGCTCAGTGCTGACAAAGTCGTGAAGACAACAGACTTTGTGAGTACAGTTGAGGATGATCCTATTTTCGATATTCTGGCAAGCAGCATCAGTGTCGGGAATGGGAAGAGTTGGAGTAGAACAGCTATTTCTGAAAAGCACGAAAAGATACAACCTTACTGTCAAGATTGCAAAAATGTTGCCTCTGGAAGTCACGAACGGTAAGAAATCACAGGAGTTTGGTTAATTTTGGGTAAGAGCAAAGTGGCACGTTTTGTTTTAGAATGTTAAATTGATACATTCAACGCTTTTTGAAACAAAGTAGATTACTGTGACTTATATTTTTGAAATATAATATAAAAATTTATAAATGTCCTTGGATTAACTATATTAAATTTTAATGTTTTGTGATTCCTTTTGTACAATTGCTGTGGTATTATGATAGTGCAGCATAGTATACATCTCTACTAATATTCCATTTGGTTGAAAAATATTTATATTTAAAGACTTTATATGATTTTTCTTACATTTGTGTATTAGTACATTATACTTTATCACATTAGTATTCATCATACATGTAACAAAAATGAAAATATTAATCAAAAGATATCAAATAATATTGTAGTTTACATTTGAAATTATTTTCTATGTTATAAAGCAATAATCCAAATTTTTTTTAATGTATATTTTTTATAAA